AAAGTGATTTCTATTACTAATATAACAATACAATCTTATGTACCTTTACAGAATCCCTTTTTCAGTTAGATTTTCACTCATTATCTCTAAATAGGTCCTGTTTCTCTATATCTTGCTCCGGTCCTTTGTAACTTCTTTTCCTTCTTCCCTCTCTTCTTCTCTCTCCCCTTTTTACCCCCTTGTCTCTCTACCTCTATTTCTCTCTTCTATATTCCCCTTTTCTGTTGCTTTCCAGTATTATTCTTATTTTTTGAATTATTTTTCTTTTCTTTGGTTGTTTTTTTTAAGTCTTAAATTCTCCATTCTCTTTCCCCCCTTTCCTTTTTCTTGCCCACATAAAATTGCTTGTTCATTAAAGATGGCTTCTTCTTTGTCCCAGTCTTTTTGTTTTGCAGTCGTTTCTTGTTTCTCATAGTTCCAAATCTCCATTTCTAAGAATTGAAAAACGAAGCCAAAAGAACCCTTCCGTTCTTGTGCACCTTCTTTGTACTTTTTAAGTTCCATTTTCAATTCATCCAGAAGTGATGCCATTGTATAAATCTTTAAACAACCACCCGATTGATTTTAGTCATTCAAATATAATAACCAAGAATCCAAAGATCACCAAATAATCCAAATACACGCAAGCTGTTTCTTTTTTGCTCTTTTTTTCATTTTCTCTTCCTGGGGTTACTATTTAGTTGCAAAATTTCAGTTAAAATGTATCTTTTAGAAGTCTTGTTGAAGTTTTACTGTAGATTCTTTTTAATTCCAGGCAGTCTCCTCCCTCTTTCAGATCCTGCCCTTATTCTTTTTCTCTCCCTTCCTGCTTACGAAAAAGAAATTTTTTAATGTCCAGAAATCTTTATTATCCCTTTGGCATTTTGTTTTATTTTCAGCTTAATTGCCTATTGATGTCAAAGTGGATTTTTCCGATTTCTTATTTAAGTCTCTTAGTTGTCAGTATAGGGAAGGAGAGAGAAGAAAAAAAAGCCAAACCTTTCCCTTTTCACTTTCATTCGCTGCTTCCGACTCTTCTTTGGGAGCAATGTTATTTTTTGTAAGTTTAAATTCCAGGGTACCTTAGTTGTTGCTTTTACAATTTAACCCGGTCAGCCAAAACTTTCACTTCTTATCTTCCTCCTGCACATTCTTTTCCGGTCGAGTTCTCCTTTGTGGTGGCCATTTCTGACCACAGCTGCAACCGCCTTTGGGAAAGGGAGTAATGGCCAGCTGAGGAGGAGAGATGCGGCTCTCCTCAACCCTACTGGCGGTCTCACCCCTCTTTGGGGCTAAGCCACCACCTCTACGGGGTGGCTTAGCCCCGAAACCAGCCGGCTCGGGGTGCTCCAGCAGTGAACCCAGATAGAAACCATGCACGATCGTGGATTTCTGTCTGTCACTGAAGCCCTTCAAACTGGAAGTCTCCATTTTTCTTGGTCTTAAGTTAGTATGTCTGATGACAGGGTTTGCGGGAGTTGCAGTCCAATGCCCCTGGAAGGACATGTGTTGATCTGTTTTTGGATTCATTGGACTTGCTTTTCCAGTTTGGAAGCATATACAGTAGTAATCTTTTTTAAAAATCTTTTCATGCTATACCAATTTCTAGACAACAGATGTGCAGTCTCTATAAATAAAGCTGCAAGCATTTCCCAAAACAGACATATTTCAGTGGAGTGTATATAGTAAGAGGTGTTTTATGTTTGCTAGTGAGGGGAATTTGTGACGTTCAGATACAATTCTCAGTATTTCGCATCATTGACTGGCTGCTCAGGGTAATCTGAAGAGACACTGCCTCCCTATTCCTCACACAGTTTTTTTACCATCTTATGTGCCTTCAGAGCTGGAATGGAATAGCCAAAAATCCAGTCTGACTTATTCTAGCCAATTTCTCCTGTTAAAAGACTCTTGAGGTAGTTGTTTTTTTCAAGCAGTTGCAGTCATGGAACAGTAAGCTCTAAATCTCTTGTCAAAGCATTGTTTTCTTATTTCTTTTCCTTATTTTCTGCATCAATTTCTATGCAAGAATCCAGTAAATGAAGCCCCCACCCTGTCATTTTCTGTTTTTTTTAAAAAAACTTAAGGTCATCTAGTTAAAGCTACTACAGTAAGAATAGAAAAACAAATATATGACCGTGGGACCGGATAAGATCTTTTAACCTTAGCTGAGTAGCACAACTTTCCTGCAATATTCCTGCTCCTAGTAGCTCCCATCATAATCAGGTGTGTTTGTACAAGATGCCTAACAGTCTAGCACTACCTGTGGGTTAGTTACTCAGCCAGTAATCTGATGCCAGATGATTAAACAAAGGAGACTGGTATAATTATACTGGGAGCTGGTATCTCAGCTATTTATGTGCTGTCAATTCCTGGTTTTTTAAAAATGCTGTTGTAAAAATTCCACAATGGCCTGATGAGAATCAGTTAACAGGTGGTGTGAGAGAAAACTACTTCCAGTATCATCATCTTGTAATCTCTTCTAGTTCCTATTTCACCCTCCCCCATATGTATGGGAGAGAAAGGATAAGAGTGCTGGGGGAAACAATTCTCTTGTGGATGTTCTCATTTTTGTTTCAGATGCCCGAAGAAATAGCCAACCTTGTTAACCCTTACTCCAAGGTTTGAATGAAACTGTGAATCATGAATAGATATCACCCAGTGACTAATGTTGACTATGGAGTGGGTATTAAGGCTTTCTTTCTTAAAATTATTTAGTTTCTAGATTTGGTCATTACATAGATTTGGTTTACTAAGTAATGTGAATCTGTTCTTTGGATAATTCTGAGGTGGTATTTCCAACCCGTGATCCCTGCCTGGAGATATCATTGGAAGAATATTTTACTTCTCTTGGCCTGTGATTCCTCTGTAGTTAATTTTAAATTTATTATTTTTAAATTCATGCTTAGGTTTTGTACGTAGGCTGTTTTGATTTTTTAGTAAGCCAGTGTGGCGAGTGCTGCTGGTGTTGGATTATGATTGTAAAATATTTAGATTCTAATTCACTGGGAGACATTTGGGCAGGCACAGTTTCTTAGCCAGACCTTCGTTTTGGTGAGGTGGGATTGAAAGAATGAACGTTTTGGACATCACTTTATTTTATATTGGGTATTTTGTCAATGGTTATGTTTTTTTTTTGCAAAAATAAATAATAAACTAAACTGGGAAAACAAGGCAAAACAAATTTAAATAATAGAAATATATACAATATGTTAAAAAAAAAAAACTGACCTGAACCCACAAGGGTAACATCAGCACTATTTAAACTTTTTTTTTTAAATTAAAAATAGGATGCTTCACAAATAGCTGCACCTAATTCATTGCAGCAAAAGAAAAATGGGCACTATAGCAAAGTAAAATTAAGAAAATTCAAAAAGGGTTAGCCTGCAAACAAACTTTTAAGGCATCTTGAGGACTTCAGGATCTTCGCCAAGTCATCATTTGCTGGACTATCCCACTCCCCACTCAACTCCAGGTAGTATGGGAAAGAAAAGAAGGGGCAAACATGAGTCATAGGCTTATTGTAATTAGGCTTTTATGTTTGAGAACACTGTCAAACGCTTAAAGGTGTAAGGTGTATTGAATTGTATTGCTATGGCAAATGCATTTCTCAGGCCCGGTCTACTCTGACAGAAACATGAAATATTTGTGCAAAACATTTGAAAATATTTTGACATCTAAACTGTCAATGTGAGTATTATGACTTTGATACGAAGAATTTTGTTTGAGGATGGAACAAGACACTCAACAAATTTTGAATTTTATTCTGCAGAATCCAGCAAATTTGGAATATTCCTTGTGAGGCCCTTTTACGCTGAGTTTAAACAGAATCCCTTTTTCTGCTTTGCGCAAATCCTAGTGGAATCCTCAATACCAGGTGTCCATAATTTCATGTTTTGGATTTTATTTTGTGAGATCTGCTTCAATGGTTGTGTACATTACTGGAGGGTAAGCGATGCTTTGTTGTCTACAAGAATAAGCACCAGCAGCTACATAGCATCTGAGTAGAAATGATGCTGAGGTGAGCATGGTCAGCCTGTTACAGTATCTCATTTTAGAGATACTGTACTTTGGTTCCCAGAACAAGCCCTAGCAGCAGCACTGAGATTGACACTTTGTGATTGCATCTGTGCAGCGCCTGATGGTACATAGAAATACAGGCAGTCCTCAACTTACATCCACAAATGAGCCCAAAATTCATGATGCTAAGTGAGTTTTGCCCCAGTTTATGTTTTTTTCTTGCCACATTTGTTAAATGAATCACTGCAGTTGTTAAAGATGGTTAAGTGAATCTGGTTACCCCATCAAGTTAGCTTGTCAGAAAGTTTCGACAGGATCACATGACCCCAGGACAACTGCAACCATCATATAAGCGAGTCAGCTGTCAAGCATCCAAATATAAATCGCGTGACCATGGGGGGATGCTGCAATGGTCATGTCATAAGTGTGAAAAATGGTCAAGTCATTGCAGGCATGAGTAAATGAGCAATGTGGGACTCCAGGCTAGGAAGAGAGAGGATTTGCGCCCTCTCAGTATGTTATTCTAGGGGAAAAACGAGAGCCTAATTTTATCAGTAGTATTACTTAACAGATTAACAGAGTTGGAAGACATAGATAGATAGATGATAGACAGACACACACATACATGCACACACACACACACGTACACACACACGTACACGTCCAAGCAGGAGACCCTACATCATTTCTGGCAGATGGACAGTCCAGTCTCTTCTTGAAAGCTTCCAGTGATGAAGCTCCCACAATATAATAACCCCCTTAACCTTTTGGGACCTAAAGCAGCGTAGTCGTTTCTCGCTCTTCCCTGCTCCCTCCCCGGTGCCCCTCACCGCAAAGAAAGCGAAACGAGCCCGCTGCTTTTCTGTTGCCAGGACCGCTCGGTGAAAACTTCGCTTTTTTCTCAAATTGAACGTCGCCGTCTCCCCGGCTTCCGTCGCTATGGCACGCCGCTTCCGCCGGCTGTGCGGAAGTGACGCGTCCGAGGGCCGAAAAAAAGGGCACAGCGGCTCCGGCCCGGCTGCGGAGGCACCGGTGCAGCTGTTCTCCCCAACCGGAGGATGGTGTCGTCGTCGCCGCCGTCGCCTCCTCCTCCCGGCCTCCTCCTCCCCCCTCCCGTCCCCCCCTCGCCCGCCGGCCCTTCCGGCGCGCCCCCTCGCGGATCCACGGGGCTCTTTCGCGTGCCCGCGCTCTGCCTGGCATGGTACGCGCTGAGCGCCGGCGGGAATGTGGTGAACAAGGTGCTCCTGGGCGACTTCCCGCGACCCGTCACCGTCTCCCTCTGCCATGTGCTGGGCCTGGTGGCGCTCCTGCCGCCCTTGTTGCGGGCCTGGCGCGTGCCCGCCGCCAGCCCTGCCCAGCTGCCCCCTCGCGCCTACCCGCGCCTCATCCTCCCGCTGGCTTTTGGCAAGTATTTAGCCTCCGTCTCGGCCCACGTCTCCCTTTGGCGCGTCCCGGTTTCCTACGCTCACACCGGTATGATGGGGCGCGCGCGAGGTGGGGGGAGGAGCGGGAAGGGGAGGGAGGGAGGCTCTGGCCCATGTGCAGAGTTGCTTTCAGGTTGAAAAGGAAACGCGCTGGGAGGAGGAGGAGGAGGGAGATGTCCTTCACTTTTTCCCTGCCCTTTTCTAGAAGTAGAGATGGTGAAACGTCGCCTGTGGATATGCTCGCAAGTGGGAAGAACCTTTTTTTCTTCCCCCAGGCCTGGTGGTTGAGTAATTGAGAAAAGAAGGCAGCACTTCTGCAACTGTCCTTTATCTCTCAGAGGATACCATCTTGCGCATTGGTTGACCTAAGACAGCATCCCTAGTAGCGTTTCTTCCCATTTTCTCCCCAGGAATAACCTTGTAGGGCGCGTTGAGCCGAGAGAATGACTGGCCCAAAGTCACCAGTAAGCTGCTTCCTATGGCTGGGGGTGGGCTAGATAGAAGCTGGGTGCCTTTGGTGCCAGTCCCCATTCTAGGGCTACTAGTCACAAGGGGTAGCAGTGCATTGTGCTGTCTCCTGTTTATACCCCACAACTGCCTTGTGAGGTAAGCTGGGCTAAGAGGAAGTGATGGGCCCAATATTACCCAGTGAACATTTGTGACTAAGGATGAGTTGCAATCTGGGTTACAGGCAGTCCTCGACTTACGACCACACTTAAGCTCCAAATGTCTGTTGTTAAGTGAACATTGCCCCATCTTACAACCTTTCTTGTTGCAGTTGTTAAGTGAATCACTGCAGTTGTTAAATTAGTAACGTGATTGTTAAGTTTAGGTGAACCTTTAGGTGAAGTTTAAGTGAATCTAACTTCCCCTATTGACTTTGCTTGTCAGAAGGTCACAAAAAAACTGACAACATTACACTGCAAGGGTGACACTGCAACCGTTATAAATATGAAACCAGTTGCAAGTGTGACCACGGGGATGCTGCAATCATCAGAAGTGTGAAAAATGGTCATAAGTCACTCTTTTCAGCACCATTGTAATGTCGAAAGGTCATTAAACTGTTGTAAGTCAAGGACTACTTGTATTTCTCTTCGTAGTTCAGTGCTAAACTATTTCACAAGTGAATGTGCAAAGAGCTAGAAGGAGGGATTTCTCTGTATGGAGGTATCGGTTTTCATTAGATTACCGGGCTGTCTCCATCTCTGTGTAGAATGTTGGCAGAACTTCAAGAGAATGAGGAAGAAAAAACATGTCTCAGGGGTATGGTATTGTTTTTTAAAAAAGAATTTTTACTGCCAATAATCTGGTTCAATCAGAATGCCTGATGGGACTTAAGAGGGAAGCAAAGGCAGGGAAAACTCAGGATTGTGCTGTCTAATAATGAAATCCAGTGAGCCATCTTCCTTTGAAGATCTTCTGTTAGTATAAATAACATGTGGGAGGAGTGAGGGGTATAATTCATTTCCCCCCATACAGTTTGTACAATATCACATTCTGCTCCAGGGAGATACTGGAGAAGCTGAGGGAATAAAAGGTTTTGTTCCTCGAGTAAATTTATTTTACCAACAAAGGATTCTCCCCAGAGAAATGTTCAGGCATATTTAAGTAATCTCAGAAATCCCACAGAGCCTTGATATCTCTATCTTTATCCGTGCAGACTTATTGTGGAGGTAAAATAGAGTATGTTTCAATATAGGTAGTCCTTGACTTATGACCACAATTGAGCCCAAAATTTCTGTTGCTAAGTGAGATAGTTATTAAGTGAGTTTTGCTCCATTTTACAACCTTTCTTGCCACAGTTGTTAAGTGAATCACTGCAGCGGTTAAGCTAGTAACACAGTTGTTAAGTGAATCTGGCGTCCTCATTGATTTTACTTCTCAGAAAGCTGCAAAAAGGCATGATCTTGTACACTGTAACTGTCATAAATATGAGCCAGTTGCCAAGTATCTGAATTTTGATCATCTGACCCTGGAGATGCTGTAACGGTCATGTGAAAAATAGACATACGTCACTTTTTTCAGTGCCCTTGTAACTTCAAATAGTCACTAAACCAACTGTTGTAAGTCGAGGTCTATCTGTATTTCACACTGCAAGCTTCTTGTAGTTGTTGTTTGATTCTTGTTTATTTGCATATTAAAAATTGTGTTCAGGCAAGGTTTTTGTATCTTTTCTTTTTAGAAAAGCAGTCCTTGTTTTTTCAAAATGGCACGAGTAGTTAGCACATACTTTAGTTGTAAAGCAGGAAGTAGTATGGGAGAAAGTGTCAGTCTAGTAGTGTCACAGTATCACTATGGAAGCTTTTGCATACCCAAATGACAGTTGAACAATTATTTATACTAAAATAAACAGTGTTGAGTAATATCTGCATGCAAATATATCAGTTTCTAAGTAGCTTTTATTTCACAGGCCTTGTTACCGGCCTCTCTTCTCGCTTTAATTCTGTGCCTTTCCTCCTCTTTCCAGTTAAAGCAACAATGCCTATCTGGGTTGTTCTCCTGTCAAGAATCATCATGAAGGAAAAGCAGACAACCAAGGTAAGAAAAATAAAGAGTAGTCAGAGGGGTGAAGTATTTGATGCTTCTCTGCAGTTGTTCCATTGAAATGTGTATCTGGAAAAAGAAAACATTCGGAAAGAGAGTTTTGTGAAGCTTGCATAAACTTTCTATACCACCTGAACTTGGAAAACAGCTGCTGTCCCATATAAGATGCTCAGAATTTCTGTGAAGTGAGATGGGCAGCAAACACATTTAATAAATAAATAAATAAATAGTAGTATTTTTTTCTTTTCTTCTGTCAGGTATATTTATCCCTCATCCCTATTATTGGTGGAGTCCTGCTGGCTACAGTTACAGAACTCTCATTTGATACTTGGGGGCTTATCAGTGCCCTGGCTGCAACTCTCTGCTTCTCACTTCAGAATATTTTCTCAAAGAAGGTACCCTGTGGTTATTTGTTTTAATATATATTTTTGCATTTGGATACACATTTGCAAATATACTTGATATTTCTGCACTAACGATTATGCTGTTGATCTTTGTAACACACATGCAATATATTCACATTTCAAATTCATATCCTCTGATGCTGTCTAATGGTGTAGGAATATTTTTGGGGGTACACAAAGTCTAAGCTACAATTGTTAACCAATTTATAGATGGAAAACTGAAATGGAGAGTAGGGGAGAGTTTCCTTAAGTCAGCTGGTAGTTTATGTTCATTACATGCCATACCTCAAAAATCATGCCTTAACACGATGGCCTTATTCACACAGCATTATACGAATATGGTTGAGTTCTCACAGCACATTGAACCTTAAACATCCAGTTTTTTAGTCTAACATATAGCACAAATACACTAAGTAAGTTGGATTTTGTATGTTAGTTTATATGATGAATTATCAGGCTTTTTAAGTGACTTAAAAGTTCAATCTATAATATAATTTCTTGAACAGCTTAAAGATATTGGTTTGGAAGGCTTTTTAAGATAGACATGCAGACACACACAGAGTCGCCCAATTAGTTTGTAGTTAGATGCTAGTATTGTCCAGATTTTTCAAATTTTATTATTTTATTGTTTAGTCGAGATTTTTCAACTTGGTGCCTCAGATTCAAAATAAGATCTCATTTATGTATAATACAAAAAAAAAAAAAAAACAGCTGGAAAGTGTCTTCCAGTCTTACCTCGCTGCTCAAGCAGGAGGCCCTATACCTCTCCAGAAAAATGGCTGTCTAATTCGTATTAAAAACCTCCAGTGATGAAGCTCCCACAACTTCTGGAGGCAAGCCGTTCCATTGGTTAATTGTTCTCACTGTCAGAAAATTTATCCTTAGTTTTAGGCTGTATCTCTGCTTGATAAGTTTGCATCCATTGTTTCTTGCCCTATCATCAGGTATTTTGGTGATAGGTTGACCTCCTCTACTGTTGCAACCCCTTTAATATTGGAAAACTGCTATCATCGTGTCATCTCTTGTCCTTCTCATCAGACTAGACACCCCAGTTCCCACAACTGTTCATCATCTGCTCTAGCTTTCAATCCCCTTGTCATTTTTGTTGCTTTTCTCTGCATTCTTTCTACAGTCTCAACATTGCCCAACAGCTATGAAGGCTGGGAATTCTGAAAGCTGAGATGCAGTTTATCTGTAGGTCATCAAATTAGAAAAAAATTGTTTAATCACTGCAACTGTGTTCAGTTGTACACAAGTAGAGAAATTATGTGTTTGAGATACAGCAGTTGCATTTCAGTTTACAGGAAGAAAAGCAATTAAATGAAATGATTCCTTGAAGGAGAAGCTGTTTCTGAATTCTTTGTTCTTACAGGTTTTAAGAGATTCACGAATACACCATCTCCGTCTATTGAACATCCTTGGGTGCCATGCTGTGTTTTTCATGATCCCAACATGGGTGCTGGTTGATCTATCCTCATTCCTGGTAGAAAATGACTTGGTAAGTGTTAACTAAGCCTGTAGAAAAAGGCCTTTGGCTTGAAGTACGCCCCTGGAGTGAGTTGTGGTCAAGAGGCTCCCATTGCTTTTTTCGTGGTATATCTATCATGTTTCCCATTGCAGCCCTTCCATATTTTTGTCTTAGTTGTTTAGAACTGATATTGAACACAGATTTGATCATCATGGAGGACTTTGAGCACATTAGCAATAAAGCCACGAGAGCTCCCAAACTGAACTGAATGACAGGTTGACGGAATTCTTGAAATTTGTAGACGTTTTTTGAGCCTATGTTCTTCAATGGAGCTTGTGGTCTTCTGGTAGACAAGAAGAAGGGTACTTAGATGGAAGAGCTCAGCCCGTTGTAGACAATGAATAGTGTAGAGATGGAAAGATTCACAATAAGATGTTTGCTTTTAACTAAATAACTTTTTCAATTGTTGAAATGCATACTTGTGTTGTACCTCATTTGGTATATTGTTAAATAGTGAAATCTGCATTAAAAAGTAAGCCATAGCTTGGAGAAAGAGAGGGAAAATGCAATCATATTGATGTTCCTATGGTCTCCTTTTTGGTGGCTTTTAATACTGTTGGTCATGCCAACCTGCTGGAACTATTGAAAAAGCTGAAAGTTAGTGTCACTGTTTTCAGTAATTCTGCTTCTTTTCACTTCAAGGCACTACCAGATAGTGTTATCAGAGACTGCTGCTCAACCCCTGGGATTGTCCTGCATATCATGCAGAGTTTAATAATATTTAACATTTGTGTGAGGCTGCTGGGTTTGGAGCTAGTCTCTGTCCGTATGCTGATGATACTCAGCTATACTTCTCCTTTCCTGTGAGCTCAGGATTGGATGCCTCCAGAGCTTCTGCAAGTCTCCGGGCTGTAAAGGATTGACTATGGGAGAACAAAGTGAAGCTGAAACCAGACAAGATGGAATTGTTGCTGATCCAGGGGCTGAACTTCAAGATTCAGGAGATAAGGCTATGCTGGATGGGGTTGTACTCTCCCTGAAGGTGCAGATTCAAGTCTGGGGGTCCTTCCTGGATCTGGAATGGACAGCCACATCACATCAGTGGCAAAGGGGCCTTTTATCAGCTTATTTGAAAAATAAATTGAGACCCTTTCTGGAGATGGAGACCTGGTATTGGTGATCCAGATGCTGGTAACCTGAAAGGCTATTGCCATGTATGTATTGAGGGAAGCCCTTGTGGACAGTATGGAAATTGCAACTGCTTAAAATGTGGCTAGAAAAGTGTTGCCATATCATCACTGTGCTGAAACATTTGCACTGCTTTCCAGTAGCTTTATAAACCAGTTCTAAGCACTCAGAGTCTCATAGCTTTGGATTGATTATGTGCCATCAAGTCATTGTGTACTCTTAGTGGCTGCAAAAATAGATTTTTTTTATGATGATCAGCTTAGGTAATTAACTAGGCACTTTTGCAGACCCTGCTAAAGGCAAAGATAGTATAACACGAATAATCTTGCCTTTTTTGTAGCAGGTTGTATAATAAATTGTTCCGGGAAGTGCCTTTATTGCTGTACTTTATGAGGGAGCTCAAAATGTATTTTTTGCTCATGCCTTTTGAGTTTTCACCTTTTATGGATTTTATCATTGTATTAACTTTGATCAAGTGACAGGCTAGCCAATCTCAAGGAGTTTGCTGAAATTGAAGGACTGTTTAACTCTTTGAGGAAAGAAAAATCTAAATCTTATTAATAAACAATTCCTTACCAAAATTATATTAATTTAAACTTGTCACTAAGTTATACTGTTTTTTAGCAAATATGTCCCCACTGATAACTGCTGTTAAATTATAGTGTAGTTGCCTAGCAGGTAGGTGGCTAAGTAAATAAACTGTACCCAGTTGTAGCTAGTAAGAATTTTTGACTATTGAATCCGAATAGTGCCATGTTGCCCATTCCAGTTTAGAAATTATTGCAAAATCTTGATAACTTTTTCATCCTTTAAAATACCTTATAGAGTATCCATTTCTTTGCACTTAGAAATCTCAGCTACTGTAGATCTGGTAAATTATGCACAGTATGCTAACAGGTTAAATAATTCTAAAAGAAAACTAGTTATTCAATAATAAAACTATATCTTTTATCAAGTTTTTTTGAAAGCTGGCTGGCCTTATTTCTCAATATAAGAGAAATATTGAGCAGTCCTTGATTAAACAAGGTAATTGGGATCAGAACTTCTGTTGCTAAGTAACATGGTTATAAAGCATGTCACTTGACTGCTGCTTAGCAACAGAAATTCTGGCAGTCCCAGTTACAGTCATTAAGTGAATCATCACAGGTTGTGAAGTGTGAGATCTTCACATGGTCATCTTTTGTGACCCCCTGCTAGCTTCCTGATTGACTGGATTGGAAGCCAGGAAAATAGGTTGCAAATGGTGGTCAGGTGACCCTGGGCATGCGACATATAAAGACTGTTCATAACTGTCACTTGTTCAACACCTTCATAACTTTGGTCACTGAACAATTGGTCATTAAATAAGTACCACCCGTAACAGATTAAGCAAGCAAGATTTCAGTATGTTATAGAAAAAAGTGTATTTAATTTGTTTTAATCATATGAAAGCAAACCTTTCCCACAAGACTGTTTTAGTTTAATAGATTGACTTTCAAACTGATGATTCAATTGTCATGGCTCTTTCATTTATGCTCTTACTAAAAGATAATTTTTGAATGAAATGTTAAAAAATAGAGGATATATCAGAACTGAAAATTCTTTACTTGTCAATAAATTAATTACAATGGTTATGGTGCATATAAATAGTAATAGCAATAGTATTTTGACTTATATACCGCTTCACAATTCCTTACATCCCCTCTAAGCAGTTTATAGAGTCAACATATTGCCCACAACAATTTGGGTCCTTACTTTACCCACCTTGGAAGGATGGTAGGCTGAGTCAAGCTTGAGCCTGGTGGGATTTTAACTGTCAAATTGCAGGCAGCCAACAGTCAGCAGAAGTAGCTTGCAGTACTGCACCCTAACCACTGCGCCACCGCAATTCTATCATAAAAATAGATTTATGTCAACAACTGGTGAACTATATACTGTGACTTGGATTCACAGGCAAAAAAATGCTTTAACAACATGATACTGGGAAAATTACATTTTATTTAAGGAGCTGCAGATGGTACATCATGTGGATGCCTACTCTAAAATATCTTTATACCCTTGAAAGCAAAGCATATTATGCTTTAATATTCATTATATATAGGCTCCTACTGCTCAAGTTCAGAATTTTTCTTAAAAAAAATGCTTTATGGGGAAAGTATTTGGATTTGTTATTTATTACTCATGTGCACTGCTTTTATAATCACATCATTCGTTACTCTGTTTTCTTTGCTGCTTTCAGTTTCATATCACTATGCAATATTGGAAGAAATATAAAATTTGGGGGGAAAACATTGACTTCAAAATAAAATTCACAGCCAATTCATGCTGCTCTTAAATTCTAAAATCCTAACATTCAGATATAATTATAGAATAATGCTATATTTATTTAAATGCTGTTTTGTAGTATTTTTATTGCTTACAGCCATTTAGGATTAAATATTATAGAAGTATCTTCATACGCTACTGAATTTAGATTGCACCTTTTGTTTTTGTTTTAAGCAAGGAGTATGAGAAACGTGTTTCATATTCCAGCAGAATTGTGGCAATAGACTATACAGAAGAACGGCTGAATTTTCAATTGTCCGTCTGTCTTAATTTCAATTTATAAGACTTGCATTTCTAAAAGCAATGATTGGAATTGAACGCTAGGAATCCTTGTGCTTAATTAGAGAACTATTAAGTTACAACCAACCAATTACCACAACCGGTGAGTTGTAGCTGCTTCTGTTCCTTTTAAGTGATGTCTGACAGACTGTTTCTTCCACAGAGTTCAATGGCTCATTGGCCATGGACCATCCTTCTCTTGGCCATCAGCGGCTTCTGCAACTTTGCCCAGAATGTCATTGCCTTCAGCATCCTGAACCTTATCAGCCCTTTGAGTTATTCTGTTGCAAATGCCACAAAAAGAATCACAGTCATTAGTGTCTCTCTGATCATGCTTCGCAACCCTGTCACCTCCACCAATGTTCTGGGCATGATGACTGCTATCCTGGGAGTGTTTTTGTACAACAAGGTATGTAGCCAATGGAAAACCTTCCTTTAACTTCAGGCCAAACAGTGAATGAAAAATGTATGTAGTTCAAGCATTCTTTGAGCCCTGATTGGAACTCAGGCTGGAATTCAACCATAATTGAGGTTTAACTTTTTAAATGGTGGGGCTAGCTCAGGGTTCATTTTCTGTTTCCTCAAAATGAATAGAATGAGTTTGGTTACCTTTTGAGTTTAATTAATGACTTGAGAAAGGGGTATGTGTCTGTATTTGTGGATTCTTATCTCCTGATTTCTCAATCACGTGAATGAAGTTGTACTTTAAATCAGTGGTCCCCAACCTTTTTTGTGCCGCGGCCCAGTACCGGCATCACAAAATCATCCGCAGCCCGGTACCGGCATCAGCACGCATTGCAAAGCGAGCCGAGCAACTGGCCAGCCAGCTGTCCCCCGCTTCTCCCTGCCACCTTCAACTCCTCCTTTGTACCTGTGTCAATGGGCTTCGCGACGGCTTCAGGACGGTTGCTCAGCTTGCCTTGCCATGCACGCTGAAAGAATCCTTGCGCCTTAGTTTTGTTCGAAGCCGCCCCCCCTCGATGAAACTAAGGCGCGAGGATTCTTTCAGCACCCAACGCCGCTTTCTACCCGGAAAAGCTCACCGGAAACACTTTTTTATCAAAACAAGATGGCGGCGCCAGCAAACCGGTGGCCCAGTAGAAATTGTTCCGCGGACTGGTGGTTGGGGACCCCTGCTTTAAATGTTGGCTGTATAACGTTAGAGAGCCACAAATGGTCAATAGTTCTCTTTTTTTGTAGATCCTCAACATATGGAGACCCTGGTATTCTCTGAACTGGTTTTTTTTTGCAGATATTTCATTACCAAACTAGGTGACATCATCACTGATAATGTTTACCTAATTTGGTAATGAAAGGCCCACAAGAAAGCAACCAAGCTCAGAGAGCACCGGAGACCCTACAATTCAGTCTTGAGCTACAAATATTCTCTTCTATCAGTCCTCAACATGGCCAAATTTCAGTGGTGCAAAATCAACAACATGGTTCTCCACAGTTTTGGAATAGAAAACTAAACAGTGTATGCCTTAAACGTTTAGAAGAAAACAGAAAAAAAGTTAATTCTGACAAATATTGTAAAGACAAACCAAAAGTTAGGTTGATTCCTCACAAGCTATAGTATAAAATATGCAACAATTTTAAATATGCAACAATTTTAAATACCATATAAAAATTACTCAAGACTAGCTAGCTATTGTTATGAAAGATGAGTATGATAAAATAATCAAATGAAATAGAGTTCCCCAGTCTTGAGAGTTGAAATGGCCTTTAACAGTCTAGGTAGGACATGATTACGGTTCTGCCCTCTTACCTGAGGTTGGTAGTTGATGCGAAGGAAGTGATATGTTGTTTCAAAATACCACAAAGAAACTTTGACACTATATAAGCTAGATGTGAAAGTTTCCTTAGTGGCCTGTAATCTTAGCAGCCCACCACACTTAAACAAATCAGTATAATATAATATAACAAGTTACAGTTCAGTACAGACAGAAAAATGCAAAGAACTCTGTTTTCCTCTCAAAAATGACAGGGAAAAAAAATCCCACCTCTTGTCTGAGTGTGATATGGCCACACTCACTTTGCTTCACTGATGGAATGGAATTCACAGTGGAATCTATCTGGCTCATTCTTTTACAGGAATATTGATGACATCAGTTTATGATGTTATAGTGGGCAGGGACTTCGTGTGAGATTCTACAAGTCAAATGAACTGACCAATCAGGCTAGAGTTTATGTTTTGCCCTGTTGGGACATCTTATTTGCCTCAAGATTCCAAAGGCAATGTTGCTTCTCCTTTTGCCATAATGGAAGCCCGCCATAGTGTCTACCACATGGACTCCTTTCTCAATCCTCTACATTCTGAAGTGACTTCTTAATCCTATCAATCATCAATGGGAGCACTTAGTGCTTTCTCATTAATAAATGGAAAGAGCAATTTAGCAGTTTCTCATTTAATATTTCTCAAGATAGTTAACGTATCCCTTGTCTTTAGGTTGTTTGTACTTCATTAGATACTCTGATTTCTGAGACTGATAATTATCTTACAGACCAAATACGATGCAAACCAGGAAGCAAAAAAGCAGCTCCTTCCTATTACGACGGGAGATCTAACAAACCTGGATCGGCGCTGGAGTACCCCGGAAAAGCCTCAGAATGGACTTGCCTCCTTTGCACATCATGGAGATTTCCAGTATGGTAGCGGCAGAGGCAATGTCCTCGTAGATCATTTCCAGTATTCCCGGCAGAACTATCCAACTTTGTACAGCTCCAGTCGCTATGATATTTAGCAAGGGCTTATTCATTGCTAAACAATGTGAACTTTTCACATGGCGTTTTCCCCTTCCACTTGTGTGACTGTTTAGTCTCAAGGAATAGCAGGGGTCTGTGCATATGTCCCAAGGTGGGATAAATGCTATAGAAGAGAGTACTGCATGCCAAGCAATACTTGCTAGTGGAAGAAACCACTGGGGTGGGTTTCATCAGGTAAAATTGGGCCATGCAAAAGCCCCAGTCTGTAGCCTCTGAGTCTCTGTGATCTCCAGATGCCCCTGAACATGTTGATTGTCCACGGTAGCACAAAAGGGGCCAGTTTTTCTTCTTTTCACTCCTGGTTGTAGATCTTTTTGAGTTGCATTCTGCCTTACTTTTGCCATTCGTTTTCAGTTATTTTCAAAATGGAACAAAAACAACTCTTTTTCTCAGTCCCTCTTTTTTCTGGAAAAGAGGAGAAGGTTTGTTGTATTCTATAATGAGAGTAGCTTTGCTGCTCATCTACTGCCTTCATTTGCAGCATTACGAGAGGGATTGCCAAAAAATGAAGAAGAATGGGGAACAGTTTCCCGTCTCTGGTGAAAGAATGAATGAGTTTATTCTTTAAAAAATAATAATAATCATGTAATAGCAGGAGTTTGCTGCTAGCACTATGTAGCAAATATGGCTCTGAAATCCTCCTTCTCTAGCTCCTGTTTTAATCATGGTCTCAAAGCCTTTTTTGTTTGTTTTTTTCCCCCCTGATATAAAAAAGGAAAAGCAAAGAGATCCGTATAGCATATAATTTGCTCCATAGGACAAAGTTTCTTAATATCATGCAGCTTCAGGAATTATTTTCTGAGGGCTTTGCTCTTCTAGTTTACAAGGATCATTAAAAAAACAGTATGAGTATTGGTCTATCCTAATGCCAGATTTTGGCATAATTTATGTGCATTGTTCTGGATTGTTTATGTTGTCTCTTTGAAATAATCTTCATACTTTTTTTCCTGCTGTGGATGACATTTGCTTTTTGCCTCTTAAGAATTCTTCTCCTGGGTACTGAAACTGGAACAACTAGCTTTCTCCTGCACCATGATTAGCTGAGATCTTCAGCAGAAGTCTCTGATATGTCCACTATGCTCTTGTGAATTTGTAATCATGTTTCTAGGTTGCCCAGGTAAGACAGAGGCCCTTAGCTTATACAAAAAAGCAACTCTTAGACAGGAGCCAAATACTTTGGCCTGTTTGTTTTTAAATTTGACTGGATTCTGCTAATAGTGGAAAAGCAAAATATGCTCACCCATTTTAGGGTGTCCATTTGATTATCTTAAAACTGCTGTCTCCTTGAGCAAAGGGAAGCTAAAGACATGTGAGTTCTCTAATCTGGGTGTAGAAAAGAAAATGCAGCTCTGGATGCATTTGTGCTGTACGCAATTGGAAAAGAAGGTTTGCATTCTATAATAAGGCCCCTCATGAAGGTTGCAATATGGGGAGGTTGCAGGGGCCGGTAAGATTAACTCTGACCTTAATCTGTTCCCAGAGGATTTCAAAAGGTCTAGAATGTCTAGGCCAAAAGGACATTATTTTCCTTCCAAGTTATTTAGGCTTCATCTCTTCTGCCTTCTTTCTAGAGCAGAAAGACAGGAATGTCTCTCTACCAACGTCCCTCTCTTTTCATAATACTAAAGCAATGAAAACAGATGGCAAACAGAATAAAGTGGGAAAGTGCTTTTCTCTTTTTAAGATGTGTGCTGTAGAACAAAACGAAACTTGAACTTAACATGAGCATGCCTGGCCACTAAATGGAAACAAAATGAAACTCATTTCTATGCAGTTTGAGCATGAGACCAGAGTCAAAAATGGGGGGGGAGATAGATTTATAAAACAAAAATAGCTAATTCATTTTTGAGAAGAATATAAGGTCCCAAAATTTAAAAGTGGATGTTATTCTTACATATGTGAACTAACTTCCTCACCAAAAGTGTATTTGTCCAAAGAGAGTGAGTCTACTTTGTGGGATGTTTTTTTTATAAATCTATCATAAATAAAGATTTGATATGTCACCCAGTTTAGGACCAATAAAGAGAAGGTTCCTATGTTGTGATAAATCAGTTGGGAACATAAATGTGCCTCCTAATATCGATTAAACATTCCAGTCTCATTGATGGTTTAACAATGCAAAGCTGATAATTTTTATTTTTAAGAGGCTTGTTGAGGCATAGGTGATTGAATGAACTAGGTATGTCCAGAATACAATATAAAACAGCAAGAGCCAGTAATTTATAGCATATCTTCCCTTTGTGTCCTTTTACATAATCAGGTTGGATAGAGATTCATTTTCTCTTCCTTCTCCCTATATTCTCTGAAGCAGTAAGAGACATTGGGAATCTTGTCTTAGTAACAGGATGCTGATTGTAATTAGTGTAGTCCTAATTTACTATTTTGGTTTTGAGCAGTTGTAGCCCAATTAGAGCCAAGAGAAGGGAGCAGCATGTGTGACGTTGCCCTACATGTGATAAGAGCACATATATTAGATTCTATTAAAAAAAGGTTCTCAGCAAATTTCACATAGATGTGAAATTCAATATTTGGAGTATTGTATTTACTTTGAGCCTGCTTGATATACTAATTTTAGGTGTCTCATCTACTCCCATGCTTATTTGTCTTCGGAGGGGGTGATTGATAGGATAACAGTGCATGTATGTATGTGTGTGTGCTTGGGGGAGGGGTGCAGCTGTATATATGTAATTGGAAGTCCTGGTGTGTACTTGGCTTTGAATGTGTTGTAAAATTTCTGTAATTCCCCCAAAGCAAAACAATCAACTAGAACAAAGAGCTAGCTTGTAAGAGTTGTAAAGATTGGCTTTTAGGTCTAAGATTCAACAAGCAACTTAGTTTTGTAAATAAGTAAAATTTTGTCTCTCACTAAAAGGGACATTTTTGGTGCTTGGAAAATTCATGCTAAGGACTATTTACATATGTCCTTGCCATTTTTTTAATGCACATCCCTGGATAGCCAAATGAAAGTCTTGGATGATGGCTTCTGATACATCCAGAAGTCAAAGTGGACTGTCAAAATTTGTAAATACCAAAGGATACTAGAAAGTAGCAACGAGCAGGGTATGCCAGGTTCGCTCTGTCTGGTGTCTTCCAAATTTGTTAGATGTTACTTCATATAATCCCAGCCAATATGGCCAAATTCCAATGATAACTAGAAATTATGAGAATTGAAAACAAACAGATTGGAGAAAGCTATGCTATAGAGTTCAAGAATAGTTGAATTTAGCAAAGGACAAATTCCTTAAAAGTTTTGAAGACTTCCTTTTCAATTACTTTTAGAATCGTAATGCAAAGAGTCACTAGGGGCATGAAGAACAACTAAAACTAGAGCAGAGTCAACACATCCTGGGCATGCCCTTTAGTATCTCGCTGGAGTATCTTTTTGCTGAAACATTTCCTTTGTTATGAACACAAGTGTTAGGTTCAAACTTCATATTACGCAGCGTGGCAAGTTGATTGCTATTTTCTGTGTCTTAAAACATTTCTAAGCCTCCCCTGCCGAGGGAGGAACCTTTTCAAAAAGTTAGTCATTTATGAATTGGGGCAGCTTGGGAACGGGCGCATGCAGCCTTCCTAAGCCAGCTTCCTTTTGACTCTGAATAATTTGGAAGTTTGTTCTTTCCAAACTGGCAAGATGGATCTGCCTATTTCCAAATAAATGTTTAGGTTTGTGTAGTCGGTCACTTGCCTCTCAGAGGGGCAGTCTCAGTGGTTTGTATATGGCATTGACAATGTCTGAAAAAGGAATATTTAATCGAGTTGATAGGTGTGGATATAAATACTATAAATAAATGCAGTCACTCCTGTCCTAAGTAAGGTGAACTTTTTTCAGGTTTTATTTGTAGTGTACAGGAACCATGATTTTTTTAGTCTGCACATTTAAAAATTGGATTAAAAAAAAGTGTGTTGTAATTATGCTTTTTAAATTTGAATATGTAAATAAAGCTGAATTCTGCAAAGTTGAAACTTTCTTGATTGGATTTATGTTGAAAATAACAGCATTTTTTCCTAAAGATTATTGGCAACTTCTTTCTCCTTTCCACCAGTACCAGGGTATATGAGCCAGGCAGAATTTCCACCATTAAAAATCCTGAATTGTAATAAGACTTATGGGTCTTCATTTCTGAAGCATGATGCCTGACTTCTTCAAATCATCCTATCATCACAGATTTTAATATATGTGAGTTATTGTGGCAAAAAAACCTGTGATAGATAAATAAACATTTGTTCAGTGTCTAGCCTGCTTTTCTTCAACTTCATAGTTTTTGGCTTTTAAAGGAAGTAAGGCAATAGTTCTGCTAGCCCTTTAAAAAACTAACACATGATTCCTTAACATGCTGTATCTATTCCACTCCTGAATACAGGTAGTCCTCAACTTATAACCACAATTGAGCCTAACTTGTCTGTTGCTAAACGAGACAGTTAAGTGAATTCTGCCCCATTTTACAACCTTTCTTAGCACAGTTGTTAAGTGAATCCCTGAAGTTATTAAGTTAGTAACACAGTTGTTAAGTGAATCTAGCCTCCCCATTGATTTCACGTCAGAAAGTTGCAACAAAGTGATTGCTTGACCCTGGTACACTGTAACTGGCATAAATTCATCAGTTGCCAAGCGTCTGAATTTTGATCATATGACCATGCAAATGCTGCAGTGATGTGTTAGTATGAAAAAAGTTGTAACTTTACACGATCATTGAATGAACTGTTGTAAGTCGAGGACTACCTCTAATCATGTTTTTTCCCCTGTATTCTCTCTCTGCAGACCCACATTTATTCTTATTCTTCAGTTTGGGTACACTAGTCATTCCGTGGTGGCGCAGTGGTTAGAATGCAGTATTGCAGCCCACTGCCAGCAGTTCAATCCTGACCATTTCAAGGTTGACTCAAGCCTTCTACCCTTCTTGGTCATATTGTTGGGGGCAAGATCTGACCCTGTAAATTGCTTAGAGAGTACTGTAAAGCACTAGAGGTAGTCCTTGACTTAAAAACAGTTCATTTAGTGACTGAAGTTACAATCGTACCAAAAAGTGAATTATGACCATTTTTCACACTTATGACCGTTGTAAGCATCCCCATGGTCACGTGATTTACATTAGGGTGCTTGACAACGGGTTCACATTTATGACAGTTGCATTGTCCCAGGGCCATGCGATTCTCTTTTGTGACCTTCTGACAAACAAAGTCAATGGGGAAGCCAGATTCACCTAACAACCATGTTCCTAATTTAACAATTGCAAGTGATTCATTTAACAAATGTGGCAAGAGAAGTTGTAAAATGGGGCAAAATTTGCTTAACAAATTTCTCAGCGCATAAATTCTGGGCTCAATAGTGATCGTAAGTGGAAGACTACCTATAGTATATAAGTCTTAAGTGCTATTGCAATATCCCCTGCCTGCTACTTGATGTTACCGGCACTTTTTGTTCTCTTGTTAAAAATAAATTGTATCTTCAGAGGGTAGGAAAGGGCAGGACAATGTTGATTTTGAGGGGGAAATCATCTGGAGTGGGAGCCAAACCTAAAACAACACTGAAGAGAACAGTGACAACAGCAGGCCTTCCCATCAAGGCCTATTGGTTGTGTAAACAACTTGAAAGCTTTCCTCTGACCATTACTGGCCTCCATCCGCAAACGGAGTCCATCTGAGAGCAAGAATGCCCATTTGGCTAGGTGATTATGAAAGAAAAAGCAAGCAACCTTACAGAGACATCTTCCTGATCTTGTTACTGCAGATCCCACCAGTCCATAATCCAAACCTCCACTTAAAAAAAAAAAGGTTGGTGCAAAGATATTGCGGAAATGAAATTGTTTAACACGACAGAAAATTAATTAGGTTTTCTTGGCTCTGTGAGTGAAATGAGCAGTTTCCAAATTTTATAACGTGTAGATAAGACATTCTTTTCCTGGTCACATCTACTGGACACCCCACCCCCCAGAGCAGGGAGGCAGGGAATGTTGCAGGTCCCCTCTCCTAAGAAGGTCCGTCTGGTGGGACCCAGAATAAGAGCCTTTGTGGTGGCTCCCTCCCTCTGGATTGGAACATCCCTGTGGAGAGTAGATTGGCCCCTATTCTGACACAATTAAAATAGGGATAAGAATAGAACAGAATAGAGCAAGCAATGGCAATGGCACTTATAAAGTGCTTCGCGCAGGCCTCTTTACAACCGTCTCGGCAGTTTAAAGTCAGCACATTGCCCCCAACAATCTGGGTCCTCATTTTACTGACTTCGGAAGGATGGAAGGCTGAGCCAACCTAGAATAGAATAGGAATAGGAATAGGAATAGGAATGGAATGGAATGGAATAGGAATGGAATAGAATAGAATTAGGAATAGGAATAGGAATAGGAATGGAATAGAATAGAATTTGGAATAGGAATGGAATGGAATAGGAATGGAATGGAATAGGAATGGAATAGAATAGAATTAGGAATAAGAATGGAATAGAATAGAATTAGGAATAAGAATGGAATAGGAATGGAATAGAATAGAATTAGGAAGAGGAATGGAATAGGAATGGAATAGAATAGAATTAGGAATAGGAGTGGAATGGAATATGAATGGAATAGGGATGGGATGGGATAGAATAGAATAGTAATAGTATAGGAATAGGAATAGTCTTTTTATTATCACTTTGAATGCAGTAATCGGCATAATTAAAATGGAATTTCGTTGCATACAGCTCTCAAAAAGGGTCACCCCTTTCCGAAGACCCTGAAGACCTATCTGGTTTTGCCAACGGACGTGTGCGATGACGCCCATCAAGTTCGTCAGATTGATCGATTGGGGGGGGGGGGAAGGGAGGTGATTATTTTTTATGGTTTGTATATTGGGTTATTTTCGTAAGCCGCCCAGAGTCACCGAAAGTCATTAAGCGGCCATACAAATATGTGTGCGCCTGTTGTAAATAGCGTGCAAATAATTTCGTCTCACAAAAGGGATTCCGCCAACCTCTCTAGGCGGACGTTGAAAATAACGGGTCGGAAGAAAGTTGCAATATTTGATCGCTCTGTTAAAAATGCACATTGCTCAAATCCCCTCGCTTCAGGAATCCCCAAACTTGGTAACTTTAAGACTTGTGGACTTCAACTCCCAGAATTCTCCAGCCAGCTAACTCTAGGAGTTGAAGTCCACAAGTTTTAAAGTTGCCAAGTTTGGAGCCCTCAGCTTCAGGGCATCGCGCGAGGCGTTCCAGCAGCCTCTTTCTATGAATGAAAGCGGCGATTTTCCCCTCTATCTGCTCACTCGATCGGAAGCCACTTGATTGGCCCAGGCAAAAACTCGCCGTTCGCGAGGAAAAACGTCTCCTTCCTCCTTCAAACGCTGGGGAGGAGGAGTCGGAGGAGGAGTCGGGATCTCCATGGCGACGAAGCCGTCAAGAGCGACCTCGCGCGAAGCATCGAGGAAGCGATGTCGGGCTTCTTTTACGACAGAGGAGCGCTTGGCGGCTGGCGGGGCCTAGCGTGACCGAAGGCGCTCTTTGAGTGGTTGTCCTCCCTTTCTTTTACCGCCATGGAGATGCCGCCCCCGCCCCTGCTGCCCCCGCCCGAAGGTGAGCCTCCTATGACCTCTCGGAGGGTGGTGGGCCACGAAGTCGGCGTGTCTGTCTGTCCGTCTGTGTGTGTGTGTGTGTGTAGTAAGCAGGGCAGCTTCGACTGTCCCCCAAACCTGGCCTGATAATGGGGAGGATGCTCCGTAACAGCGTCACGTCTTTTGGCTTGGGGCAGAAACCGGGCTTTCAAAGGAGGTTAGTTAGGCGCTCCGCACATGCTCAGGGGCCTTGAGGGACAGGTTCGGCCCAGTTGACGGTGCTTGTCAAGGCCAAGAGGCTTCCCCAACCGAAAAATGTGGGAAGAACAATGTTTAACATAAGCCACCTTAACCTTAGGGCCCCGCCCCCTTAACCCTTTCCCTTACCTTTCAAAAAACCGGTAACTCCGTGGGTTTTATGCCCACCCGCACACCCGATGCAGCGCCTGGCTGGATTGGCAGGTGCCGGCTGGTAGGATGGAGGCGACCTGCTCGAGCAGAATACAAGAATAGTTCGGCACTTCTGCACCAGCTGCTTTAGCTGCTCCCCCCCACACACACACACCTTGGTAAAAGGGATAAGTAGTTTGAATGGTTCTCAGCTCTGCAAAGGTGCTAGAGGAGCCGGTAACCCCTCATGGTTTGAAAGTAATCCGTATGTTTATTCCTATAAGAATGCCAGTCTCAAGGCTGATCAGAAAAGATCTAAAATACAAAATCTAAATCTCAAAAGTGTTCTCCATAAAAGGGGAAAGGAAGCAAGGAGGATAGAAACTGGAAGGTCATCTGTGAAGTAGACCACCATCATTTAGATTATTATTTTTTAAATGACCCACTGGAGAATCAATCTGTCCGCGCTAGAAAGCACGCTGTCAGATTATGTAGGGTGGGGTTGCTGTTTTTTTGTACAATTGGTATCTGTTTCCTGTTTTATTTTGGTGATTACCCATAGCACTTTCTTAAGTCATGTTTTATAGATGGATGATTAAGTAGAGGTGATTTCTTAATTTATAAATTAAGCTGTGGGAGCTTCATCACTGGAAGCTTTCAAGAAGAGACTGGACTGCCATCTGTCAGAAATGGTGTAGGAAGGTTCTTCTGTGGGGTGGCGGTGGGGGTTGGACTAGATGACCTACAACAGTGGTCGCCAATCAGTGGGCCGCAGCCTACTGGTGAGCCGTAAGAAAATTTTGGTGGGCCGCAGAGAAATGTCATCCCCAGAGCACCCTTGCTTATCAATGGAGACCAAGTGGAGCAAGTGGCCAGTTTTAAGTTTCTAGGTGTTATCCTAAAAGAGGACATGACTTGTGGGGCTCACATTGCAGCACTGGTCAAAAGGGCCCAGCAGAAATTATACTACCTGAGACTTCTCAGAAAACAACAATTGAATGAAAAACTGCTGGTGACCTTCTACCGCTGCACCATAGAGAGCA